GCTTCAGAAGAGTCCCTGAAGGTGGCGATTTCGCCCCCTCTGGCCCACGGGGGGGGGCAAGGTGAGCCTCCAAAGGGTCCTAGGGTGTGTTCCATAAGACGGGCCTCTCCATAAAGCTCACCAAACTTTTGGGAGAAGAAAATAGATTATTTTCCTGTTTTATTCTCCTAAAATTTGGTGCGTCTTATGGAAAGGTACATCTTATGGAGCAAAAAATATAGTAGCTTCCTCCAGTTATAAGCCTTATGGAACTGACGTCAGCTGATGCTGAACAAACCAATTGGAGCACACCTCATTGGAGGTGGAGCCTGTAGGCTCAGATGCAACAGGGACTCGTAACATCCGACGTTCTGAGCCCAGAGGCTGAATAAAGCTAAGTTTTGTTGTTATTTTGATTAGAAAGTGGGGGGGGACGTCTTATAAATGGAAAAATATGGTAAATGGATTCATTTTCTCTATCTGTATTGTTCCTGACAGTGAGATGGTCACACTGTAAAAAAAAACTGGGAAATTCTGGTAGGCCTGAATGTTAAAATTAAACATTAACTCATTATCTGTTTTGATGGTTGGAGTCCCCATTGTTTTTGTTTAAGAACAATTGGTATATCATAATTGCTTTAGCAGATACTTTGAATTTTGTCCTTTGATCAAATCTCGTGTAGCAAAAGTAGTTTTGTTTGTAAGGAATAACCATACTTGGATTGCGGATTCTGCTCCATGAGGCACCAACTTTGATCTGTAGGTTGACATGTATAAAACTCTAAACTCAGTCCCACACAACTTGCATTCAGGGATTTGGATCTGCAGTCGTGGTTAAAAATAGTTGGTTACGTTTCTGTCACTTAGACATTTGGCAGCTGAATATACTAAGCCAGAGTAAGGTGTTTCTTCTTACCTTATTGCAATGTTTGTAGAGTTATGGCAGTCTTTCTCAATTTAGGTTCTGGATGATATTTTTAACAAGAACTCCCATCAGCCCCAGACAGAATGTCCAATGGTTGGACATTATCGGCGTCATAATGCAGACTATGCTGTGTTTCAAGATCAGAGGCTCACCCAGGTCTTCCTCACACCCATTTTACAGCCACTCTTCTTTTTCTTTCTTTATAGCCTCCTCTGGTCCAAGCCATCTTCAACCGTGATATAGAGGAGGTGCGGTCATTGCTGAGTCAGAAGGAGAATATCAATGTATTGGTAAGTGTTGAAGCAACATTATTCTTCCTGGTTTTGCATCTTTTGGTTTTGCACAAAGATTACAGTTTCCAAATATTGACACAGGCTGCCTTTGTTGATGAGGAGAATCTCCATGGGGAGGTTTTCCCTCCCCACTGCAATGTGAACAAAGCAAGAGAGTTTGTGGTTAGTGCTCCAGGGCTTTGGTACTGTGGTAACTTCTTGCATGACCTTCATCCAGTTGCCATGTGTTGTTTTCAGCATTATCCTTATAAAATGTAAATGCTAAAGTTCACAAGCATAAATGTTTGCTTAACTGTGTGTGTTTTTGATTAGTAGGGTATAGGGGTTAGATTACTTTTGGAGAGAACTAGGGTCAACATTCAGTCATGCTCCTAGGAAGCTTCCTTCATCATGTTTTCATGGCAACCTCTGCTCATCATTTGTAAAGGGGACAGGATGGTGAATATAAAGTTGTCATAGTACTGTAGATGGTTAAAGATTGCTAGTACTTTGCATACTCACAGAATTGGTATACAGGACAGAAGAATTCATATATCATCAATAAATGTTGACTTTGTTTGGAATTAGCTGCACTGTCCAGATGTATTGGTCTGGCTGTACAGAGCAGTGGGTGGCACTGGGATCAGCTGTTGTTTTTGGCACTGAGTGAGTTCTGGATTTGTCCTGTGGTCTCTGAGTGAGAACAGCATGTGTTAATCGTGCTTTTCATCTTGTTCTTGTATAGCCCACAAGGCAGTAATTGGCTTTTCCTTTTCCTTTAGCTCATTCAGCAGGGATATGCGTATTATATATAATATGGGCCATAAGTGGCAAGTTTAGTACTGTTACTGGCTGCTTCAGTTTTGGAATCTGAAAACAAGGCCTTTTCAATGCTTAGAGCAATCCAGGAGATGCAACATTGAAGTGCATCCTGGTTTTTCTCAGGATGGTTTTGATTTAAATCAAGTCTATTTAAAACACAATTTACAGTCATGCCCTGCTTTACGATTGCCCCACATTATGACAAAACCGCATTACAACGATCTTTTTGCGATCACAATTGCGATTGCAAAACGATGGTCTGAATGGGTTTTTTTCGCTTTACGATGATCGGTTCCCTGCTTCGGGAACCGATTCTTCGCAAAACGACGATTTTCGGACAGCTGATTGGCGGTTTCAGAATGGCCGCCGGGTAAATAAAATGGCTCCCCGCTGTTTTCTGGGACGGATTCGTCGCAAGACAGCCACCAAAAATGGCCGCCCTATGGAGGATCTTCGCTGGACAGTGAGTTTCCAGCCCATTGGAACACATTGAAGGGGTTTCAATGCGTTTCAATGGGCTTTTTATTTTCGCATTACGATGTTTTCGTTCTACAGCGATTTCACTGGAATGAATTAACGTCGTAATGCAAGGCACCACTGTAAATCACTAGTCAGTAAGACTCAATTTAAATCATGATTTTGAAATGTAAAGACTCATTCTTGCTCGTAGTTATAATCTTTAATATTTGCAACCAGATGAAGATTCCATATTTAGAATAATAACCTATCAGATTAGTAAAACAGCTGTATCAGAACAGATTTTAGTTTAGTAGGTTAATCACTCATATTTGGAGAACTATTTAAATTATTTTATCTAACTAAGTAACATTATGTAGCATACATATTCTTGTATTTGCTTAAACATCAATGTGATAAATTTTTGTACATAGGTTTGCAGAACAACAATGGAATTACAGTTGTTTCCTGAAATTTATATCATTTTTATTGTGCAAAAGTGCATATTATCTCAGCGTGGATAACTTGGATTAATTGAATATGTTTACCAAAAATGTAAATATTGTATGAATATACAACTTCATGCTGTATAACTGTTATAACTATATAGCATGCTATACAACATTCTATTTCATACTGAATAACCTTTCAACTACAATGTATTTTGAATGGAAAAGTATCTTTGGATAGATTTTTCCTCCAGAAGATTTGATTAAAATAAATTTGATTTAAATTCAATTGTTTTTTAAATCATCAATTTTAATCCACCTTGGTTTGTCTCTTACAGTATGAGAATGTGCTTGTAGTGGTGCAGGCTGAGGAATGCATCAGATCTAGTTTTGAATTAATTGACTATGTAAACAGCAGTATGGTGAGCTAGTGAGAAAAATAAATATGTGCAGAGATTTAAAGTAGTGATGGAGATGGTTAATGTTTTTGAGGAAACAATTCAGAAGACCTCTTCTGTGTTGGTCTTGTGACAGGATGGCATATGCTGCTATTATTTCATTGAAATAAGAAACAAATTCTCCTGTGATTCACAGGGATAAACCCATCTAGTCCAATCTTGAAATGTAAACGAGGCAAATCAGCCACCAGGTTACAGTGTGCTACACACAGACAAGTAGTACATTGCAAGATAATGCCAGCAAAGCACATAAAGCTAGATGACTAAACAAGTGGGTTGAGCAAACTGGCATGCTACTGAGGGAAGGTAAAAGACTGCATCTACTGTGAGTAAGATGATATTTTTTTATTGAAGTTGGCTCTGATGAGGAAAGTGAAACCAAGCGTGTAGGCTTCTCAGTGCTTTTCTTCAGGGATAACGGCAGGCTAGAATTTCAGGCGCTCTGGTCACGCACCTGTTACTTGGATCAAGTCAGAATTGCACTTGGATTGGAATGGGCAGTTGAAATAATGGAATATAGTGGTTAGATGTTGGGAGGAGCCAGAAGTTAGTCAGTTGGACAGGTAGTGGTGGCAGAGTGGTGTCAGGGTGGGTAGGTAGACATCAATAATTATTTTGAAAGCTAGTTAATTCTAAATTGTACTGAGCAATATTAAGTATGCATACTTCCTCATCTAATATGGGAAATGTCCTGGATCAGAGCAGACTCCTGTATAATCCATATCCTAGCCAATGACCATACTAGTGGTAGAGTCTGGGGTTCTTAATACAAACTTTTCCAAGCTCTTCTTATTACTGAGTATTGAAATGTTATGTATTTTGCTTCACCCTCTTTGTAATTCTCCTGGGTCAGTAGAGTAGTAGAGCTGATAGCAAAAGTTAACGTCTCCACCTTGTGAAAGGATGATCAAAACATTCAGTACTGGAGCAGAGGAGGGAGCTCCCAAAATGATCAAAACATTCAGTACTGGAGCAGAGAAGGGCGCTCCCAAAAGTCATGAGTCTATATTCATGAGGAAATCTAGCTCCAGAGTAACTTGTGGAGCAATGCTCTATAACCAATTTCTTTTCTTTCTTTTTGCTCATTATTCCATCGCAGCTGCTGTACAGCCGGATTGAGGGGCAGTGTTGATACTAGCCTGCTGCTGAAGCTTGTGGAATGCAATCCTCTACGAGGAGGAACTTCTGTTGTGTTAGATTTCCTAATGGGACTCACCTCTGTGCTGGAAGGGGAGCCTTATAGTGATTTGACATCTTCACGTCTGGCACCCATCCTTCAGTGTTCCCTGGTTGCTAGGCATGGGATTTTCAGATTTTTTTTCCCACTACAAATACTATAATTCACTAGAATTCTGACACCTATAGCCCCCAAAATTCAGTGCTGCTCCTAATGAGGGTCTTGAAGAAGGGGAATGTATTGAAACCCAATATCGTAATGGTGGATCCCCATAGGCTCAGAAGGCTTAAGATCTTAGAATTACAGGATCTCAACACCTCCCCTTTGTGAAAGTGCTGCTGCAGGCAGATATGATGACCCAAGGCCCTGTAAGCTATCCAGACCTTTATGCCTAGAGTTTGAGCAGTGATATTTACTCAGAGTGGCCTGCCAGGGAATGTGGTGAACATAATGCAGCCATCCAAATGGCTGTCTGCCAGCAAGGTTTGTCAGCAGATCTGGGTGGCCTTTAGATGATGGCACATGCAGAAGGGCACATCTCACTATTCATTTGCAGCTGCCGGAATTGTTGAGCTGCCTTCAGCCATGCCTGGAGCCTTAGGCACCCTAAAGTGACAAGTTGCAGTATTTGCCAGGATTCTGGTAACAATTGCCACAGGTGAAATGTTTCCTGAGATGAACCACATCTTAGGAACTCCCATTCACACAGAGGTTTCCTTTCTGGGATCTTAATCTGATGTAACAGGCCCTCATGCATTCAGCCTTCAACTCCATCTGTGGCATTCCTATAAAGATACTAGGGGCTTACACATCCACCAGAAAGGTCAGAGAACTGCAGATTGTGTTCACTAGGAAGGGGTTGCCATCTGCACAGTTTGGTGCTTCTCATAGACCTCTCTTTCATCTGAATATTAAACCTCTTTCACCATAGCCAGAACATTGTCCTTCCCAACTATTGCCTTAGGCCATGTCTCCCTAGAGAGATAGTTGCCTATATTCTCCTCCAAGTGGGTGCCGTACTTACTACAGTGTCAGTCTCTTCATTTTTTCCCCAGAGTGGAAAAAAAAAGATAAATAGCTCATTCTCAATTATATTTGTTGGGAAATTTGAGTTAAGTTGAATGTAATAGTGCTTAGGATCTTGTTCTAACTGGTGTGTGTTTGTGTGAGAGAAAGAATGATAGTGCCTTAGAAAACAATTATCAAAGTGAATAGTTCCAAATTGATTGCCTCAGTGTTATTCTGGTAGTTGTTTTGCATCTGAGGAATGATACTGGGTTTAGGTTGATTGCTGTGTGTCTACTTTCTGGAAGATTTATTTTTATTTGTCAGGAGCCAACAAAGCAATCCATGTCACAGCTTTGTCTTAAACATGAATCTTTACCCGTTACCATTTTACCCAGCGTGTCATTTTGTTTTAGATGTCACAAACCTGGTGCCAAACTGGAAGGCACTTTAAGTGTTGATTGATTTGATTGAAGAGCTAAGTGTTGCTTTCTTCTTCTTGATAGCCTCCAGCAATGAGCTGGGATTTCATGCCTTATCAGAATTGCTTACATTGCTTTTAGAGTTTTATTGCTTTTGGCATTATGTTTTAAACACAAACTGATTAGCAAGGTCTATGTAGTGTTTCCAGAGCAACCTCATAGCATTTGC